AAAAAAAAAAAAAAAAAAAAAAACACATACACACAAAAAAAAGCACAAACAGTATGTGCAGAGAACTGTCTCATCCCCACTCAGCTGACAAGTTCTATTCACAACACTGCATGCTTATGACTCACGAGGGGATGGGGGAGGGGAGTAAAAGGAAACTGTAAAACAAAGCAGAAAACTTGAATGTAGACTTAAACTGACTAGCAGTGAGGAATTCATCTCTGTTTAATTAGAATATCTCGTAACAACCCAAGAAAGTGTCCTTTTAAAATACAGTAATAAACCCAGTATCTTCTGAAAATAACTTGAAATTTGTCTTCATATCATGTCTTCTGCTATTCCTTAAATAGACATGACACCAAAAGGCATTACGAGGCCTCTGGAAGGCCAAACGTTACAAAGCACTCAAACAGCACAAACAGCACAGGTTGCTGTGTGGCCCAAAGCAACAGGGCATTCCCCACAGTTCCTTTCCTGGCAGACAGCGAAGTCAACACATTTAACCCCTACTGCACTCTCTTCCAAGATGTGCACTGAATCATTTCTTAAAGGGGTAGAGGTGCCTCATCTTTTTATACTCAAATTATATGTCACAAAATTTGCATGCCAGGAAAATAATTCAATTCCATTCCCAAGAGCTGATCTTTGTGACCTGTAACAAAACAAGGAGAAAAAAAACCACTACTACTTCAATCAGATGTTTCTAAGGGAACCCAAACACCATTTCTCACGCCACATTTCCCTGTTTTACACCCTCTAGATGGTATTCTGTTAAGTAACAAATCTTGTCTCCTCGCCCCATCCCTAACATCCTGAAATATTCTCTACAATTTACAACTGACAAACCTAAACACAGCAAAACAACAAAGACAAACGAGTCACCTCTTTCACTTGAAAACCTCAGTCCTCCACAGAAATGTACACAGACAGACAGATGGACGAATGTAAGAACACAAACTGCACACCCTGGCTGAGTCCTGAGCAGGTCTGAGCCAGTGTGGGTGCCAAAGGGCGGCCACACGGCCTAGCTAGTGGGCTGCTCCTGCTGTTGCTGTACAAATATAGAAAGCTGGAAAGTGGAACAGCAGCTTCAGCAGAACAGATTCTGCTCCATGCTCAGAGAGGGAGGAGCAGGGAACTGAACAGCTTTACCCATACATGGTTGCTGAAAGGGGGCCATTAGTGAAAGCTCAATTATCTCACACACATGCATTCTGTTCACATGCTCCAGACAAAAAACAGAAACACACAAGCTGGTACTTGAAGTAAGGTTTAAGAGATTCTATTTCAGTCAAGTAACTTCCAAATAATTTCAGTCACTGACACCAAGAATCCCTCAGCCATGAGAAATGGAAAAGACATTTGAAAACCTTTACTAGCTCAGATTCTTACTGGATCAGCAGTAGTGGTGAGGCTCAATTTATCATTTAAATCCTAAAATTTAACATGCAAACAAGGTGATTCTCCATTCGTGTGAACAATGTTAACCTTCACTAGCTCCTTGCTGCTTTCGGAATGAAGGTCTCATTTCAACTGTGAATGTTTTCAGCTCTTTTTTTTTCTGGTTGATACAAGTTAAACTCTAATTTTAAAAATGTATGTCTCAGCCGGGCGCGGTGGCTCAAGCCTGTAATCCCAGCACTTTGGGAGGCTGAGGCGGGTGGATCACGAGGTCAAAAGATCGAGACCATCCTGGTCAACACGGTGAAACCCCGTCTCTACTAAAAATACAAAAAATTAGCTGGGCATGGTGACGCGTGTCTGTAATCCCAGCGACTCAGGAGGCTGGGGCAGGAG